TTTATATTTGAGAGATTTGTAAATTTGTAATTTTAAACGTAAATTATATTAAGTATTTTTAGAAAAAGCAACTTCCCAACCATCTCAAAAAATAGAGATATCGACAAATGGTGTAGCTGCATTGCTGTCATGTCATTTGAATTATTTAAAGGAAGGAACTCTTGGAGATGTTGAACAAGGTATTTATTTATGATAGAGAATATATTTTGTTCAAATTGTATTTGAATAAGGATAATTATGTTTGTAACTATGGGGATTTATTATTGGATTATTTTCTACGAATTTTTATTGTTTAATTACATTGAAATCAAAGATGCGTATTTTACAAAATATTCTATTTAAATTAAGCTTGAAATCATGATTAAATTCGAATAATTAAATCATAATTATAAATGCCTAACAAATATAAAATATTTTTACTAAATAAAATTTATTTTACAGATACAGTTCCTCTTAATAAGAAACCTTACAAAAAAATTCGAAAATCAATTGAAAATTGTCTTGTTAACATCAACAATGTAAAAATAAATCTAATATTTTTAGTAATTAATTAATTTAGAATTGTGGTTCTATTGGTAATGATATTGATAAATTAGACAAGTTCTATGAATTTATCGACAAAACTCTTGACAACCAAATATTTGAAAATTTAATTAAAAGTAAAAACAAAACCAAAATGATGTATTTTGGTTGGATATTGCAAATACTTTACTATACTGTTGCTGATAAACTTGCTGAAAAGCTATTTAATTCAAATGTTTTTGAAGGAGGAACAGTTTTAGCTGGAATTCAAAAAGTTTTGTTTTTTTAATGCTTAACATTAGCTCGGTTCGGAACTGAAAGGAAGTGACATTAATTTCTATATTTTATCCAAATTTCCAATTTATCCAAATTTTTTTTATTTTTAATTTAGAAAATAAAATTGGACGAAAATCGTTATAAAGATTTCAGAAAAAATCATTTAAATAGAATCATTGAAAATTTTGACAATTCGTTAAAAATACGAAAAGTGAATTTTTATGATAATTATAAAAAAATAAAAAATTCCTTGGAATTAAACTTGGAGAAATGCGAAATTACACATAATATGTGGTTATTTCCACAACCTTATTGGTGGATAAAGTCGAAAAATAATCAAGGAAATAATCACTTTATAACACCAAGGACATGTAAATTATTTAAAATTTAAATCTGCCTTAATAGCCCCTTCTTATATTTATAAATAGAAAGTTAGTTTGGGATTTTTACCTAGAATTGATGACAATCCATAATAGATGTAAGAGTGTTAAAAGATTAATCGGGATTGTTAATAATCTTGACGGATCTCTAAATATTAAACTAAAAATTTCAATTAAAATATTCAACTTTTTCTAGCGACAAGACCGTCTACATCATCATTTCCATCAACACCACCTAATGAAGAAAATGATATTGGCAAAAACTCTTTAGATAATGTTCCAACTCCAAACTGTTTAAAATTATCATTTGTTTGGCCCAATATTAAAACTGTTTTTTTGTTGGTTAATGGGAATGCCAACGATAATGAATTGAAGAAATTGAAGGAATTGTAAGATAATTATAATAAATTAAAGCGATTAAGCTCTGTATGGTAAATGATTTTAGAACATTCAAATAATATTTTTTACTAAAGTTTCTACACAATATTTCAAGTAAAATTTCCTTTTTAGCTATTCTGAGTTTAGAAGTAATAGATTCGATTTTTTCTGGACTTAAGAAAAATCTCTAAATATAATTCCCGAACAGACTTATTTTTGGGCTTTTACTCGTAATTCTACGAGTATAAATTTTGGTAACCTTAATAGTCACTAATTATATAGTATAATGATGACACAAATTTATTATATAGTTGATTAAATTATATTCAAACTGTTAAGAGTTTAATCTAAATTTTTTCGTTGTTTGTTAACACTTTTTTATATTATTTATAATAACGGCACGGCACCTTTTATTTCTTTAGATGCTTCAACCTTTATTAATTAATTGTCTTACTTTTATTTCAGGTTTAAAAAGATACCAATTTCGCATATTCTTGCAGCTCCGGATGCAAACTCTTTGAAAACTGCAACACAAATTAGCAAAAATTTGGAGACAATACGTGTCAAGTATGATCCAGGATTTGCTGAGGTATATGAAATATATCCAAGTTTACTAAAATATTAGTCATTAAAAAATAAATTTTAGTTTTCTTGAGGTTTTACATTATTTCTGAATAAAATGACAAATATGTACACTGCTTTTCATAATCATAACCCACTTTAATTTTTTGAATTTTTCATTGTTACTTCAATGTATCTTCGAAATTTGGAAAATTAATATGTTTAAATAGAGTAAGAATATTCCCTAAGTTTCACTAATTTTTGTTCACTACAAGAGATTTTCAATTATTTTATTTTCCAAAATTTTCCCTAAAATAAGTAGGTATTTTATAATTATAACCCACATTTATTCTTCATATTTTTAACTATGGAGAAAATCTACAAAATTCAATTATTATTGGTGAATCTTGTGAAACTTACAAATTGGTGAAACTTACGGAATATTCTTACATTATTTACTAAACATATCGTTTTGCTTTATTTCGAAAAGTTACGTTGAATTAACATTGACAAAATTCAAAAAATTAAAGTGGGATATAATTATAAAAAGCAGTTTAGTTGAAGAGTCATAATTAGTTCCAAAGTCATTCGTTACTAATTTGCTCCTCAATACCAATAAGAGTTTCAAGCTTTTGGTGACAGTAAATAATGCTTACTTGGGTAAATCGGAATCGTACTTACAACATCTAAATAATTTTCGATTTATTTATATATTATAACTCATATATAATCTAAAATTAAATTAAAATAATTTAGAGTGTCGAAAATGGCTATCATTTAGAAACTTGTAATGATAATAAATTTGATTGTAATTATTACAAAGATGAATTACCCAAAAATGAAAATGACAAAATTTTTACTAAACGTGTTAGTAATGCACTGGAGAAAATGCTAAAAGAATGCACTCTTGAGAACGGATATAAATTTTCGGAGGAAGATAAAAAACCTTCACAATTGCCGACATTCAAGGCTGGGAAATGGTTCAAAAATCAATCAAAAAAACATTTCAAAACAGTCATGAAAAAATTTAAATCATTACGTAAAAAAGTAGCTCCCGAAGTATTTTTAGGAAAAATTGACAAAAATATTACAAGTTTGTGTTTTAATTTTAAGTCGGACCTCCTATTTTACGTACAACCTTGGGACTGAAAAATTGTGCGTAAAAACAATAAAGATTTGAATTTAAATTATTGTGAAATGAAAAAATTATTAATTTTTGATCGTTTCTTAAATAAAATAGCAGTTTATCCATCAACCTTTTAAAGAAATTCTCTTATTTATAAATTCTCAAAAATTTTCATACTTCCAATTAAAATATTTATATTTTTCACAAAATTATTTTTAAATTATTTTATATAAAACTTAAAAAATTACAGACTATTTGGTAGTTGTTGCTGAAAATGAAACAATTGGTAAAATTCATCAACGAATTACAGGACAATGGGCTGATGTTTTAAATGTAAAATAATATTTAATAAATTCTTTTAAATTTTAATAAAATTAAGGGTTCTGTTAGTAAATTTGTTGAATTTGAATCTGAGAAAAATATTGGAATTGGAAACGGAGAAATGTACAAAAAACTTCGACTTGTTAGAAGTAATGATATTAAACACTTGAAATTGGAATTAGATGATCCTTATAAAGGATTTGATCTTTATTTCCCTGAAAAGGAATGAGAGTAAAAGTAAAGATTTTAAAAAATATGTTCTTATCGAAAATTTTTTTTTTCTAAAAATTTTCATGAAATTCTGAATTGTAACGTCGATATTCATATTTATTGAGACTACTCCGTTGCAGTTTTAAAAAATTCAAAATAAGTTTTGATTTTTAAAGATTGCGAATTTTTTTTAAATTATTAATTTTTAAATTATCTTCATAACTTTTTATGATAAGACTGGGATTTTAATCACAAAAAAATTTAATGTAAAATAGTCGCCAAAAATAGTAACTAAAAATCCAAAATAGTCATGAAAAATAGAAAAAAACATAGTTGGAGATAAAAAATTACTTATCAGAATAATACCAAACAAGCTATAAAAATAAAAAAAAGTCTAGTATGGCCATAATAAAAGTCACAAAAAACTCTTTGTTAGAATAACCATCTAAAAACTAATTTTTAACAGAAATTTCATTTAATTAAAAATCCCAGTCTTAATTAATGATATATTTATGTAAATATCTCTCTTATTTCTTTTATCTACCTCTAAAATCCTTTGTTAAATATTTGACTTTTTGGTTTTCTAAATTAAAGTAACAACACTTTCATTTTAAAAATGATTTTCTTTTTTTAAATATTAGTCCATGTTTATTTTTATATTTTAAATATGTAGTTTTATTAGCATAAATTGTGGAAGTAAAAAGACTAAAAGGCATACTTTGGAAGCAGCCCTCTTTTTTCCGTTAAATTATTTTCTATTTTTCTCATTTTATGGCAAACTATACATATGTATATCATTCGAAATAGCTCTAAGATAAAAAAAAGAGCTCTAAGACTATATACATATGTACATGGTTTTATTCGATGAAAAAAGAGTATAGTCTATAGTCTAAAAACCCTATTAAAATCGAGTTGTATTTTTAAAAGGATGTTTATATACCCAAAAGTTGGCGCTAAAAACATTGCTAAAAATTCCTCTGCAGGATTTAAAAAAATTTACCCTGAAATGTATTATGTAAAATCGGCACATGTCTGTATAATCAAAAATGATTTTTAAATTTATTATTATACATTTATTTACATATAAAAATATTAATTAAAATTATAATGAAAAAAGGCTCGGAAATGGCTGATGTGAGGAATTAAGTATATAAATAAAAGTAGGGAAAAGTGAAAATTTAAATTTATTTTTAATTTCTTCAAGAAAATTTGGAAAAAAATTTTCATTACAAAATTGCACAACATCTACAAATACCTCTACGGACAGGAGGAGCCTAAAAATAGTTGAAATAATTTAAATTAAGATTTAAAAAACTTTTTCGAATACCTGTGGTGGAGGAGTGGCTGGAGCAAAATAAGCATGTACCTCCACGTCTGGACGGCTTTGCTGAATAATTTTTAAATAGGTATTTTTTATTATTCTTTAAAAATTGTTTAACGTATAAAATTATTTAGGAAAATTTAAAAATTTTTTGATAAAGGGAAATTATGAAATCTAGAAAATCTTTGAGATAATAATGATAAAATGATTAAACAGAACGCAAAAATTTGGCAAAATAGTTCAAGTTTTTAGGGAACGGAAACCGAACCATGTATTTTTGTTAAAGAGTATTCGTTTTGTACTCGTTTTTAAATAATTGCATAAAAATACACTTGTTTCTTTCCATTTTTTACCTTAAACTTTTTTATTGCATCTTTAGTAATCATTTGACAATCATATAAATCAATTCTCTCCAATACTTGTAACATTTTCATAGATTCAAGAGTATTATCTGTTATATTTGGACAATTATCTAATTCCAAAACTTGTATTCTATCTTTATGAGAAGCTAAAAACAAAACATTTTTTTAATTAAAAAAAAAACAAGTGACCACAAAGTTCAGCCAATCCAATATCAGTTAAATTTTCACAATGAGAAAGTGAAAGACTTAATAAATTTGGACATCCATTATTTAAATTAGAAATTGTAATATCTTTTTTTAAAAAAAATATTTTAATTAAAATTCCAATCTCTTTATTTATTTACCAGTTATTAATAAACATTCTTCGAGATCCATTCTCTCCAGTTCGTGACAATTTTTAGAAAGTTGGATAAAGCCTGCATCTGTTAGATTAATACACCCAGCCAATTCAATATCCCTTTTTAAATAAATTTATATATTAATTCTTTAAATATCCTCCACTGTTTAATTACTAAAAGAGAGTATAGGTAGTCTGGATAGGGTAAACTAAAAGCTTTTCAGAAAATCAAAAATTTACTTTAATCGAGGGCATCCCTGAGATATTGCAACAAGAGAAAGGTCAGTAATTTCTTTGCAATTTGATAATGAAAGAAATTCTAAACGAGGACAATGCCTAGCAATATCATTAATTGTTTCATCCAATACATTCTAAAAAATAATTATGAACTAATTTCGAAAATAATTGTTTTACAGGGCAAGAATGCAAACTTAATCTCCTCAATTCTGCCATTTCTAAATTTGCAAAACAATTTGAGGTTATCTTTAAAAAATAATTAGAAAATTATTTACTAAAAGAAAATAACAAACATTTTCTAATCCTTTACAAAAAAGTGTTTTCAAATTAATACAATTTTTGGCAATATAAAATAGCCCCAAATCTGTTATTTGCTCACACCAACTAATATTAAGTTCTTCCAAACGTTTACAACCCTCACTAAAAATAATAAAATTTTTAAATTAAATTTTGTGAATATTTTAAATAAAAGATTTTATTTTAAATTTAAAAACAAAAATGTTTAATTTTATTCCCAATAATTTTGAAATCTGCAAGGAAATTAATTTAAAAAGATGGCTAAATTGGAAAAGGGATGGGGAATGCCATCAGAAAATATTAGATTAACAAAAAGTTGCTTAAATCAAGAAAACTTCCCCTTAAGTTATAAGCAATTCTCAATCCAATTTAGTAATATTACCTTATAAATTTAATGGCAACATCAGTCACTAAAGTACAATTCTCCAAATCAATCATAACAATTTTACAACAATACCTCCCAATATATTCACAAGTACTTTAATTTAATATTTAATTTACAATTAAATATTATTTACCCGTCAGTAATTAATTTACATTTAGTTAAAGTTAATCTTTCAATATTTGGACATTTTGTGGCAAAAGACCTCATTGCATTATCTTGCACATTTTCGCACCCTTTTAGTGAAAGAACTTTGAGAAAATTGCCACAACGTTTTGCTAAACTTTCAACGACTGCCGTCTAAATTAAATTCTGATTTTTAATTTCTGAATATTTTTTTCTCAAATTTACTTTAACTTCTCGTTGAAATAAAAATAAATCAACATCCATCCAATTACTTCCATCCATTGATAATTTATTCCAACTTCTACAAACTTGTGCACATCGACAAAGTGAAGTAATATCCAAATAAGAGAAAACCCTTTAAAAATATTAAATTATTTAAAATAATTAGTTATTCTTTAAATAAATTTGTTCAAAAGTATTTAATCCCAAACGGCTTAATATTTAATAACGAGTTGGATCAAACCATACTAGGGAGGAATTTGAAAGGTTTAATATTATAGCCCTTTGGTAAATAGCTATACATATATCTATTTTTACCGTAAAATAAGTTCAGTGGGAAGCATTCGATTAATTAGAGCTGTGGGAACATGTTGGTGGTTGTGTTTCTGTTGTTGTTGAAAGTTTGAAGTATGCCCGTTTTGTTGTTGAGAAGTTCCAGGAAGCATTGTTGTTATCAAATACATCTTAATATTTAAATTAATAAATAATTATAATAATAATTTCTAATTTATAAAAATTAATTTTTATTAAAGATTGTTTAATTTTTATCATTTTAGTCAAAAAGTTAAAATAAAAATTAAATTAAAAATTAAATTATTTAAATGAAATTATTTTAAAAAATCAATTAAATTAGTAATGATGAAAATTAAATTAAATGAAATAATGACTGTTCTCTAACAAATTAAAAACTTCTAAAAATTTTCTTTTGGCATTTAAAAAAGCTGGAGAACTCAATCTATGTACATTAACATTTAATTGTAGTTATAAATAGACACGATTAATATGAAAATACAATTATATATGTAGTTTAATTGAAAGATATAATAGATATGTATATGTAATTAAGTTACCGCGCGTTTTCGACTTTTATTTGATATATGAGCATTCCCCTTCCTATTTTTGCTCATAATTCTTCTCAATTTGTAAATAGTTCTTTTGGGCCAAATAATTGTGGATTGTGTTGCTGTAACCTCCGGATTTTCTAATCGCCAATCCCACAGAATTCCATCATGACGAACTGAACAATCAAAATGAACTAATGGGTCCATTCTATAAAGAGCACGTAATACAATAGCTTTGCTCTTTTTATTTGAATATTCCTCCGAATTTTTTGAATTGTTAATAAATGTAGGTGGACATTCGAAGAAAATTTTATTTTTAAAAAGAGTCAACATTTGATTTTTTAAAGAATTTTCTTAATTATATAATTAAAAATTATAATAAAGAAAAGTTAATTAATAAAAAAGAAAAAATAGAAGGGCAGTAGTTTTTAATTGAAAGTTTATAAGAGGAAAGTAATTGTTATTGGTAATGGGGTGTCTGTTAGGGTGGCGGCTTAGTATAAAAGGCGCAGCCTTTTAGTAGTAGATGTGTCAGTCTAGTGTCAGTCTAGTGTTAGTCTTGTGTGAGTCTTGAGTCAGTCTATAGTCAGTCTTAGTCCGTAGTCAAGCTACATTCTACTCCAGCGCATAGTCTCGCCTATTTCTATTGTATTGTTACCTTTGTGATAAACCTTGTTAGTGAGCTTGTTAGTTAGTCTTTCTGTTAGTATCGGACACACCGCAAGTGGATACATAACAGTGGCGCGGTCCTTTCAGGAAGTCGAAGAACGTTATAGAATTGAAAAACGTGTAGAATTGTCTAATATTTATTAAATTTAAAAAAGGGATAACCAAAAAATATCAGATACCTCAATAACAAAAATTTAGATTTTATTTAGCAATTAAAGAATAAAAAAAGATGCTAAAAAATCTTTTAAGAAAAAGAGGTACTCTTTATATAATGCTTCATTGTTAGCAGTACATTCTTGATTCCGCATGAGTGATGAGCCACGCACAAATAATAAATATATACCTATTTTATTTTAATTCGCCTCGAAGCGCTCAGTCAACCAAACAAAATTTTAGGAAGAAAAAATAATTCGCTAAAAAAGCAAAATGGAAAGAGGATGAGAAAAGTAATGGCCGAGTAAATATTTGCAATTTGGATTGTTTTTTGGAAAAATAGTAAATTGCCAGATTTTTCTTTAATTTGGCTATTAAATTACTTAAACCAAAAAAACTAAAAAAAATTTTGAAAAAATTGTAGCTGAATAATAAAGAATATGTCAAATGGAGATCAAAAAATGATGAAATAAAGTAAATTCTCAAGTCTTGTTTGCTAAAATTAAATTCTGGATTAGTATTCCAGAGGATTATTGAAAGTCAGCACTTCCGAAGTACTATATTCTTGAGTAAGGGTCCAGCACCACAACTTGTCTCACTTATAATAGAGCGGTAACTTAAAATGAGGTAGATGAATAAAAATATATGTATGGCACAACAGGACACAAAAACAAATGAAAACGGTCATAAAGAAGACCCCTGACATATTTTCTCTATTTTCCATCAAAAATCTAATGGTTCTTGGTCAATTGCTAGATATTTTGTTAGATTCGGAAAACTTGTTCTTCGCCTTTTTAGGAAAGAAAAATAGTAAGAGGTAGACTACAAATGTTCGTACCTCTCAACTACATAATATTTATTACAAAAATATTTGTTTGCCTTTAATGTATACATCTGTCGCCTTATAGTAATATCTAACAAAGTATTGACAATTTTTGAATATACATTAATGGACTTATTTGTTAACAAAAAGCATTTCTCGCTAAAAGCAAATCCTCCACATCGTCGTTAAATTTGATGATTTTCACACGTCTATTAGGCTTTACGCAACAGTGGGATTAAGGTATTTTAAAATCCAAAATAAATTATATATGAAATATTTTAAAAGATATAAATTAATTGCTAAAGATAGTAATTCTATAAAATAAATTTTAAAATGTAAGGAAGTTAAGAATTTTATAAAAAAGATTATCGTAGAAATTAAATAACTTCCTTAAGCCGAAAAATATTATTACAATAAAAAATTTCAGCTTTAGAAAAAATTCGAAAAATATTGAAATTTTTCTGAAAAATGGGTCTTAAGGTCAAGAAAAAGGGGTTTCTGAAAAATGGGTTTCCAAATCCAGACAAGAAAATTTGGAAAAATTAATATATACTAACTTAAAAATAAAAAAAAGGATTGGGAAAGAACTCTGTGACCCGAATTTTAAATAATAAAAAAGCTTCAAATAAAAAGGATGGAAGAATCAACAATGAATGCGCGAAGGACAATTATAGAGGAGAGAGAAGGGCAGATGGATAGAAAATGAGTGGAAATAAAAATAAAAATGGTATTAAAAAGAAATTTTAAAAACATTTTTGGTATAAAAACACAGTCTGTGAATAAAATAAAAATTTAAAAATTATTGCCTTGACCTAAAGAAAATTATTGAAAAATTGTGTTTGTAAATAAATAAATATTTTTTGTTTAAAATGAAATGAGCGTTGTACATATTACATACTTAGACAATTAAAAGAAACAGATGGAGTTTAAAGAAAATTTTTGAAATATCTAAAATATCGCGCATAAAAAAGCTGAGAATTTTTAAATTAAATTATAAAAAGAAAAAAATTTTCAGACACTTAAGTGACAGATGTTTTGTTGATTTAAAAAGCTTACTTGAAGGTTAAAGACAATAAATTTGTTTAATAAATTTAAAATTTAAGCGTGAATTATAAAAGAAAACAAAATTAAAAAAACAGTTAATGGAAAATTTAAAAAAATGGAAAATTTATAATGAAAATTATATGTACATCAATATTAAAAGACGGTTTATTTAAAAAATATTTTTAAAAACAATCTTTTAACTAGAAAAACCTTTCGAAATGTCTGAAACATTTCAAAAAATTGCATTAATTTTTAATAATAATTAAAGAAAAAAGCAGTTTTTATCCTCTTTATGAGGTAAAACATATATGAGGGAAAATGATGGAAAGGACCAGTTCTAAAGAAAATATAAAGGACCGGTTGGCAAAATTGTTTTAATGTCCTCAATATAATAATAATGTGATGGAGAAACTTTTTATAATAAGGTACATAGAAAGAAAAGATGCAAAGAAAGATAACAAAAGTATAATTGTAATTAAATAATTTAAAAAATAATTTTTGGCAATATTTTAATCATTTAAAATTGTCATCCATTTTTGAAGAGAAATAATGTAACTTTAAATAAATTATTGGAGGAGTTAAGAAGTTAATCAAGAAATAAAAAATGTCAAGCAGAGGTACGAAAGAATTAGATATAACTTTAAAAAATTTAAAAATAGGTATATTCTATTGATGGAAAATACTTTATATAATTTTGTAATTATTTAAAGAATTTTGCTTTAAAAAATAAATAACGAAACAAATATGTATGACGTATTTTAGAAAATAAATATTAATAAAAAATATTTTTACAAGCTAACCTTTAAAAATATATGTTTCTTTAGTATTTAATAATTAGCTGTATTGTTATATGTTGTTAATTTTCTAATTTGAAGGTTTTAAAAGTGAAATAAATGCAACCTTTTAAAATTTATTTAAAAAAAGAAAGTAAATATTTCCTTAATTTAATTAATCCCCTTCCATAAGAAAATACTATTCCTTATAATTCCTCTCCAAAAAATATCCCTTATAAAATTTAGAAGGAACAGTTTAAAAAACGACTGAAAATTGAATGGACGATTATTTTATAGATAAAATAATTTAAAAAAATAATATTTAAAAAATATAGAACTGATGTGAGTAATTTAATATTATTTTTAGAATCCAAAAAAATTTTGAATGGAAGGAAATTTTTTTTTTGCAAAAAAAAAATAAAAGAATATATGTCGATCAGAAATAAAATAAATTGACTGTTACTTGGGCGGTAAATGTGTCTTTGATGAGGGAAGGAGGGAAGTTTAAAAAAGAAGGAAAAAATAAAAATGGCAAGAGATGGATGAGGATGACCATTTGATAGATTAGTTTTGAAAATGATGAGTTAAGGATTGGAAAAAAGGTTAAAAATTAGAAAGAATATTTAATGGAAAAATTGAGAAAGTTTAAAAAGGAGAGAAATATAAAGTACCTATCTTAAATAAGTTTTAATGTTAGCAGAAAATAAAGAAAAGATAAATTTAAAAAAAACAACGAAGTAATAATTTTAATTTCATTGAATTTCAAAAATTATAATTATCTAACAATTCAAAAAGTATCTTATGAAAATAAAAATTTTAATTTAAATTAAAATAAAGTCAGAATAAATTCGGGTTTTTAAATGTCATTTAAAAAATTAAATTTGAATCGCAATTTTAAAGAATTTGATTGAAAATTAGATTTTCTTTTATTAATTATTAGCCTTAATTTACCGAAAAACTTTTTATTTAAAAAATAATTAATTTCTATTAATTTTTTTTCAATCGCTAAATTTAGTAGTCAATCTTCTGTGTTTTAAATTTTGTGTTCTATTTAGTTAAATTGCGGTAAAAATTTTTGTAAAAAACAGCCAAAAAAAGAAATATTTTTGTAAATATTTAATATTTTCGCGCAAATTTTTTATGAGAATTTGACCCGAATTTGTAAGTTACTAAATATATCAAGTCATATATTACAAAAAATATACATTTAATTTTTACAAAATTTTGTTTTAAAAATTAATTTAAAATATAAAAATTAAAAAAATAAAGTAATTTAAATATATGTAATTTAATTATTAAATTAATTTTTTTTTATTTTTAAAATTTAAAAATAGCTAATATGTTTTTCTTTAAGCATATTTTTTCAAAAATTTTATAATTTAATATAACTTTAATTTTTTAAAAATATTTTTACCTGATTCTGTTTGGCTTGTACTCTTTTTGCACTAGGTATAACAACAGGACCAGAAAATCCTTTCATATCCAAAAGCACATCCCCGATACCACCACTCATCTTATAATAAATTAAAAGTACATAATTAAATTTTTTTAGAATTAAATTGCCAAATTAATAATTAGAAAACCAGAAAAGCCACTCAAAATTTAAAAAATATTTTATCAGAAATGTTTTGTAAAATATCGAAAATAGAGGAGAGGAGCTATAGCAACAATTACTAATTACTTTCTTTTAAAAATAATTTTTGACAATTTATTAAAAAAATGTTATTTTGATCATTTCTAATTTGTTATAATTTTAGTAATCAACCACACACAGAAATGATAATAATTTTCCCAGAGAGAGCTGTTTATTATCAAAAAAATATTACAAAAAAACAATCCCGTTAAAAATATTTAATATTTGTAAATAAAACTTTCGCACCAACCGGTGCCACTGAAGTGCTTTGACGTCCATTGCCTCCACTTCCACCAGCATCATTTCCCACCAGGCGCATTTCACTGGCTTTTTGCCGACGTTTTTTGCTGTTGGACCCTTCTGATAGCGGTGAAGAATGATAAGATGAAAAGGGTAAAGAGGAAGAAGCAATGGATTGTGAAGAAGAAGGAAAAAGGGCGGTAGAGGTGGGTGTTGTTGTTGTTGGTAGCAGTAACTGTTGAGAAGCTGCCGACGTTGTCGTAGCTGTCAATGAGTACGGGGAAAGAGAAGGTCGCTGAAAAAAAGGCCCGACTGTCAATAAGAGAGAAAAAATCAATGTATTTTAATAGAAAAAGAAAAAAGGGAGAAAATTTGTTTTTTTCGTTAGATAAGAGAAAAGGTGAAGAGAAGGAGAGGAGGAAATGAGGGCTGGAAATTACGAGGAGGTATATTTATGTGAATAACAAAAAAAAGTAATATTTTAGTACTTTAAGTATTTGTAGATAAACAATTAAAAATAATTTGGATTTATTTATTTGTTGGCTTCACTGGAAGTTTTTTAAAAATAAATATTTTTGTTTATTTTAGTTTATTTACTATTTACTAAAAATTATACATATTAGCTGTGTAAAAAAAGTAATTAACAAATAATTATTTCTAATTTTAAAGGACCAAATTTGGATTTAAAATTCCTCAACAAATGTTGGATCTTTTAAATTTTCGTTGGATGGGGAGGGGAGGGGAGCAACAAATTATCATTTAATATTTTTATTTTTTCCTTAATTTTCTCTATTAATAAAGACAAATACAGTTTTCCAAAATTTGATTATCCGAATCCCGAATCCCCATTAATATACAACAGAGGGCATTTTGTTAAACAGATTAGTATACTCCAAATATTTTAAACCCACCTTTTTACCCTTTTTAGTTTGTACATTCATCCCCTCCTCAAAAGCTACTTCAGCGCCTTTTCTTTGCTTTGTTGAAATTAAGCTTTTACGTAAATTAGATGATAAAGCAATATTTCCAAAATCTTCTTCATTTAAAATATTTTCATTTTTTAGTAAAGCAATCTTTTCTTCATTCTTCTTTTCTATATTTTCTTCAATTTCAATGTCAGTATCACAAAATACAGGATTTAGAATAAAATGTTCATTTTCTGACTTAAAATTGGGTAATTATTAAAGAAAGAGTTTTTATCCCTTCTACACCTGCCTTAAATAATAATCACCTGATTTTTAATCAATTCATTGTTTATTCCTTTACTTTCTGTTGATTCATTCAAAAATGTATCATAATTAATGGTAGTACATGGTGAATAACCAACACAACTTTTATCATCCAAAGAATCTTCTGCCGTCTTCAAAAACATTTTAATTTAAGAAAATAAAAAAATAAGGATTTTGGGAAATAAACGTCTTAAATTTTAACTAATTAAATTCGAAGAGCTTTATTTAAACTTTCTGGAGATATCAATAATATCCAAATACCCCGTTTTCTGATTATTTATCGACATAATTTAACCTTTTTAATGTTAGCAAAAACATCAATTTTCCTTCTTTGTTGGGATTGATTCTCTATAAATTCTTAAAAAATCATTTTTAAAATTATTTTGTCGATAAACCTTGCTTGTCAGGTCTACATAAAAGTGTAGCAGATCCATAGGATTCGCTTAAACTTGGAGTAGAAGTAGCTGGTTGTAATGAAAGTCTTTCATTGACTAAATAAATTATATTAAAAAAGGAACAAATTTTTATTTATAATTTGCCTTTATCGACAGAAGCTGCCCTCAATGTTAAGCTTCGCCTACGTCCGAGTTTTTGCTCACACCGAATTCCAATTTCGTCATCTTTTTCATCGAAAGTATCATCAAGTAGTAATGCTTTGGACATTTGAAGGGAAAATATATTTAATTTTTAATTTTAAGAATTTCAAACAGAAAAGGAAATTAAAGGAGAAAAATTCTTATTTAAATAAAATAAAAATAATTTAAAAAATAATTAGTAGATATAAGTAATATTTAATTAAAAATTGTTGTAGTGAAATCAGAATATTATTTTTATTAATATTTTAATGAATTACACTAAAAGTATTGAATAAAGAAATTAGATGGACCCTCTAACATAATGAATTAAAAATATTTTGGGCTGACATTGATACGAAGATTAAAGTGATAAAAAAAAGTTTTCGTTGTATATAAAATGTGTTTTTGTTTAAGAATAATATATGTTTTTTACTATTAAACATCAAAACAACGCTCCTAATTCTCCATTTTAGTAAAACTTAAAATATTTAGAAAGTTTAGGGAATTTAAAAATAAAATTTAATGAAACTATTATTCATAAAATATTCCACGTTGAATGTTGCTGGAATTACAAAAATAAATATATTTAGTAAGAATATGTATAATGATTCAAAAAATAATTTAAAATAAAATTCAAAATAAATTAAAAATAAATAAATTAATTTTTGGAAAATAAAAGAATTCCTTTAATTAAAATTCTCGATATATTTTTTTAATAAAAAAGCAAAATAAAAAATAATTTTATTTTGGGATATCAGCTGATTCTATTTAATATATTTAAGCTTTTTATTAAAAAAAACAGTCGCAAGCATACATGTTTAGTAGTGATGTTCGAGACTCTCGGTCTCGACTCTCGAGTCGAGAAATTTCTCGGGTTTTTTGAGCTCTCGGTCTCGGTGTTTTGGTCTCGGAAAACGAGACTAAATTTACACCCCTAATGACGGAAATTTTTTGAACTTTACTCGGACCTTGCGTACTTTGATATTAAAATTTTTAAGGAAAAGTCTCCAAAATTCCCAAAATTTTGCCTGCGGCGCTGAAAAATGGAAGAAATCTGGCTTCTTGAGCTCCAAAATTCTCAAAATTTTCGCCTGCGGCGCTGAAAATGGAGGAAATTTGGCTTCTTGAGCTCCAAAATTCAAAAAATTTTCGCCTGCGGCGCCAAAAATGCAGCAAAAATTTGAATTTAATAAGATTAAAGGATTAGATTTTGTGGTTTGTGGTATATTAGATACTGTGGATTCTGAAGGATAAAATTTAATATCAAGGGATGGGTGCATCGATGGATCAAAAAGATATTGTTGGATTTGTAGGGATATGGAAGGATATGAGGGGATTTTAAGAGATTAATGTGAATATCATTGAATATATATTGTGGACAAGTGGATTCAAGCGAGTATGGGGATTTTGAGGTATATCAAGGGATTTTTGGGGATTAGGAGGGACATCAAGTGATATCCCTCTTAATCTCTCGGTCTCGACTCTCGGTCTCGACTCTCGTTTTGGTCTCGGTCTCGGGGTTGATTCTCGGTCTCGGTCTCGACTCTCGACTCTCGGGATTTTTTGACTCTCGAACATCACTAATGTTTAGAATAAACAAGAGTATGGGGGAGCAGATGGCTGAAATACATATAAAATAGGCGAGAGCCTAGGCCTTTTTGTAAATGTTAGAGAATTGAAGAGAATAAAAATGGTTGAAATATTGATGTGTTTGAAGAAAAATTGAGGAATTGGGTGAGAGTTTATAAACAAAAATTTCGGAATTTCAGAAAACTGAATTCTTGAAAAATTTTGCTTTGTATATAAAATAGAATTTTAAGTATGTATAACTCAGCATAGAATGTTAAGGGTGAAGGGATTGTGATAGTGGTTATTAATGTTTAATTTAAGGGAATAATTTACGTTATAGTAAAACCCATTCCAGGAGAATTATTACATTTTGAAGCAAAACCTTCAACTTTCAGACGGATTACCAAACAAGTTTAAATGTTATGGAGCTATTATCTCACTGGAGTTTATTTATATATTTTATTTTTAGAAAATTGTTTTTGTCTACATACTTTCTGCATTTTACGAAAATCTATGAGGGCAAAAAAGTGAAAAATAAATAGGAATGGATGTAACTTCTATAAACGAAAGTTGACTACCCTGCGGGCGACAAAACTGCTGTCAGAGGAGTCTTCTGAATGACGAGAAAAAAAATGAGAAGTAAAAAAGGAAGAGTCCGACCGTGATAGGACCGCATGCCTGTCACAATGTTCCTCCTCTCTTTTTTGGTTGACATTACGCTGCAAAAATAATATTAAAAGAAATAACTACATATTTATTAAAATCAATCTTAAAATTAGAAAATATTTAAAATAAAAAATAGCAAAAGAGAAGGAAAACAATTGATAAAAATGATAAAATTAAGAAAAACGTTCTTTTGTTATCTTTTCTCAAGTAAACATGTCAATATCAAGGGTACATAACATTCAATTAAAAATTGTTATCACAAAATTTTGGCAACATATGAAAAACAAACGAAGTACATGATGACTGGAAATAAAAGGAGCGTTGAAAAGTCAATGGAAAATAAACGAGGTACTGGAAAACTGATGAGTTAAGAACGAAAATATTCAGGGAAATGTGCATTTAATATACAATAAATATATTAGAGATTGCGCGACGTAAAATTCTTGATCTTCAGGGATTTTGAAATTTTTGTTATTTTTTGGCTTGGGTCGAAGTTCACATACATGAAGAGGAGAATTTACAATTCAGGTATGGTAATATAAAATTGAATATTTTTTTATTTCGGATGCGCTTCAATTGCCCTTTAAGGTAAAAAATATATTTTAATTATTTTGTCAAAAAATCTTTCTTGAGAATGTCAAAAAAGTACATCTATTGATGAAATCTGGTATTTCAATGAAATAAATACTTCAAAAATAAGTTTTATTTATTAAATCGAATTTTCAAAAATAAAAAGTCTGAGAAGCATTTTTTCTCATAAACAAGGAAATAAACATATTTAAGAAATAATACATACATATATAAAAACTTTGAATTTTTTGTTTAATTTTAGCAAAATATTCTTTGCCAAAAGTCATTGTAATTTATTGTATAAGTAAAATTAATCTTTTATTTAAATGTACATAATTTGGAAATCTTCTTTTGGATAATCAAATTTTTGGAAATATATATCAGAAATAGTCAGAAATAGTATGTTTTCAGTCTTTTCTGGACATTAATTTCGATAAAAAATTTCCTATAAAATAATTAAATATATTTAACTAATATGTAATATATTTTCGAACATTTCTATTTCTTTTATTAATTTCAATAAATCCTTAAAAACTTTAAAAAACATAAATAAATAATAAAAAATATTAAAAGTGCATATTATTTTGCAATAAATTTTTTTATTAAATCATGTTAATCAAGTGTTTTCCCGACAAGTTAAAATAAATATTACATAATATGTAATGTCTGTCTTGCTCTCCTTTCCGGCAAATTATTTGATTATTTATTACCTAAAAAATACTCTTTTTTATTTATTTTTAATTAACTTTTTATTTTAAAAATTTAATTTAAAATGAATTCTTCGTTTGCGATTTTTGTCCTTCTGATTCTTTTTGGTTAGAATTAAATAAATTTTCTTTAAATAATTTATACCTAAATAATTTTAAGTGATAACAAACAAAGCTTGTGCACAAATAACTTTAAATGGAATTGCTGCATTGGCTCATTGTCAGGAAAAATTAATTCTTGAAGGAACATCTTACAAAGAGAATGGTGTATATTTAATATTTTAAACTTAACCCAAAACTAAATAAAAAGTTTGTCCGGGATTGAGCTTTCTAATACAAAATAATCTCTATCTTATAAATCTTCACTCTCTCCCTCCCAAAGATCAGTTGTTTTCTTGTTTTACTATTTTTCTTTTATTGTTAGAAGAAAGTTCACTATTCTAGTTTTGAATAATTTTTAGAAACTTAATGTTTAATTTATTTTAGCAATATCTGATTGTCTGAAGATTTTCAATGTATGTATATATTACCTAAATTAATTATACCTTAATAAATATTTAGTGTGTAAGTTTATATGTACATATATAAAAATTTAAATTTTGGAATATATAAAATTTATTAGCAGTTTCATTGTAATAAAAATAAAACAAAAAAATTGTAACATAAAATTAGACAAGTCTAAACATTTACATAATATTTTATCTTTCCAGGCCAAATATCTCCAAAAAGATATTGAATTAATTGAAAATATATATAAAATTATTGATGAATTAAGTAATAAAGAATTTACAAAGAAGAAAATTACAGTTTATAACCGGGTTTTAAAAACACTTAACTTCCTGGTTGGACATTTATTTTTGGAAAAGTTTTTAAAATGGAGCGGTGATCGGGAACGAATTTTTGTTTTTACAAGTCTAAGTGTAAGTAAATTTTAGAAAGTTCTTATTAGTACCAATTAACATAGTAAAGCTGAAAACTGATCTTGGATTGATATCAGGATCAATTCTATTAATATTTGGCACTTTTTTGGAGATACTATAACTCAATTTTCCCTTTAATTATTGACTGGGCTTCAACGTCTTACAATATTTTTTTCCTAAAATTATATCTAAAATTCATTTTAGGGCTGTAAAATTGATGTTAAAAGATATAAATCTTTCCGAAATTATTTAAAAGAAGCGGCGGAGAATTTGGATAATTTACTTTATTTGAAATTAGAAAAAAATTATAATAAATTTAAAGAAATAAAATTATCTATTGAAGATAAAATTAAACATTATAATTTAATAATGGGACGTCTAAATGATGAATTTAATTTTTGGTGGATTAAACCTAATAGTAGAAGAGAATGTTTATCTACAACACAATCAAGACAATGTAAAAATTTATTTTTAGATTTTATTTTAATGAATATTTTATACTTTCTTTAGCAACAACGACTGATCCCCACCTTTTTAAAAGTAATTCAGGCAGAGAAAGAGAAAAATCAGATTCATTTCGAACCAGTCCAAGGGCATCATCTTCTCGTTATGAAAGATATTCTTCAGCATCGCAATTGGCAAAAACTTTTGAAAACAACCCTTTTACATATATAAACAATTCAAAAGTATTTAATGGTGAAACACCTAGATTGTCTTTTGAAGAAAATACAGATCAACAAACAAAAGAAAATACGGAATTTGTAAATAATTTAGAAACGAGGACATGGCCACCTAAAGTAATTAAAGTACTTTATTTAATTAGTGGGGAATTGAGAGAAGAAAAAAAAGGTCAAAGAAATTCTCAAAAAAATCAAATCAAATCAACAACTGAGAATGAAAGGAAAAAACAAATAGAGAAAATAAACAAATAGTGAGTTTTTGGGACATTTAATACAACTTTACTATACCTTGCTATTAGTATGACGATTCTAAATGGATAGACCTTTTTTTAAATCCATTTTTATAACGCGTCATTCAGTTATACTGGATCTGGTTTTGGTTTATAACGAAACCGCAAATATGTAGAAGTTCAGATTAATCGAAAACCGTAGGTGCCAATTAATAACTAGTCAACTGCCCTTAACTATGGTATATCCTTCTATAGTTCCATTCAGAGTATATAGTTCCATTCAGTTTGAAATTATTCTTTAAATTTCAGTTTTCGCTCCGTTCCCATAACTCACCTTTTCTCTTCACCAGAAGACCAAAATATTAAAGTTGGACTTAGTTTAACCTTTCCAAAATATTTGCAAATTAATTATGAACCCGGCTTTTATAAGGTATTATTAATTATATTAGAACTTTAAAAATATAAATTTAATTTAAGTTTCTCGGAGGTAATGAACCATCATTTCCTCAATGTGAAGAACTTAAGAAAGCCAATAAAGGACGGATTAATTGTGATTATTTTAATGAAAGGGAAAAGTCGGAAAATGAATGTAGCATGATTTTAAATCCAAAAAGAGTAATTTTTAATTAAAATTCTCACTTTAATTTAAAATTTTATTTTTTATTTAATTACTAAAACAGATTAAAATTTTTAACAGGAAAAATCTCCAAATAATTTTAATGAAAGAATTGATAAAATTCTTAATTGTGTTTTGAAATATTGTGCAGAAAATAGCAAAATTAAATCAAAACCAGGGGTATTTGAAAAATTTTATAAACAATTCAAAAAAGGAGTAGGATCAGTATTTGGCTCTGAAGATACTAAATGGTGGGTTGGAGAAGATGAAGCAGGTGAGAATTATTTTTAAAAATATTTAAATAAATATGTAAATATTTCAAAAAAATTTTTTGTCCTTAAAAATATATATTTTTTATATAATTATTTTATTATTTTTTAAAATAATTCGAATTGTTAATAAATTTAATAATAAAATTAAATTTAAATTCAATATATAATTAAATGATAATTTTTAAATATTTTATTTAGAGCATATTGTAATTGTTACAAACAATGAAGTAATTGGTGCTATTCATGAAAAAATAACAGGGAAATTAATGGATGTTGAATCAGTAAATTAATTAATTAAAAAAATATTTTAATTAATTTTAATTTAAAGGCTTCAATAACTAAATATATTGAATTCGAAACAAATCAAGCGAGCTCTTCTGGTTCCTCCTACAAACGATTTAGAATTATTCAGGAGAGTGATATAAAGCATTTGGGCCTGTCTGAGAATCAGAACAATTTAAATAACCGAATATGGTGAATAAAAAGAAAAATAATAATTAAATTTAATTCGTATTTTAGACGAATTGTTAATAAAAATTTAATAAATTTTTATGATTTTTAAAATTATTAATCTAAATAAAAAATGATAGATATTATTTTTTCTAAAACTTTATTAAAGCAATATTGTCTTTTAATTTTTTTAAATTTTATTAAATTAAAAAAAATATTTTTATTTAATTATTTATTTATACATTTTTCATCTTTACTTCCTTTATTATTCTTGCCAAACTGTCAACCTATTAATAAGAAGGATAGGCAGTGTTTTCAATTTAATCCAATTCTCGACTCTTTTCCTTGGGTATTCTAAAAATGTGTGAAAAAGCATTCGTGTGAAAATAGGTAAAAATAATTAGAAACCCAAAGTTGGATATTTAATAGCCATAGCCGCATCATTTTTGGAACCATTTTCTCTGCTAATAATCTACGTGTTCTGGTTACATGTTTGGTCTCAAAAAATTAAAATAAGACTACAAAATAAATCTTTAAATAATTAATGTTTTAGTCTATTTTTTATTTATAGAACATTTTTGGTTTTAATTTTATAATAACTCGTAAATTTGTTATAAAAATTTCGAATAATTTATAAATATTTTTATAGTGTATATTTGAATTAACAACTTTTTAAAACAAATTAACATAACTTTAAAAACATTAATTAAAATACAATTTGATATTAAACTTTCAAGCATTTTAAGTCTATATTTAAGGATAATTCAACTAGAACACAAGGATAAAAGAATAAGCAATACTCGTCGTAGCCCCTATAGCTCAGTGGTTAAATTTTCAATAATGTTCAAAAATTTTCTGCTTATCAATTTAAGATTCACGAAACAATCTCAAAATTTTGTGACTTTTTGTATTTAATATTTAGAGTTATTAAATTCACTACAAATTTAAAAATAAGCTTACACTAAAATGTTTGAAAAAAATAAATACGATTTAAATTAAAAAAATTTTTTTAAATTAAATTTATAAATTTTCTCTTTTCTTTTTATTTTGAGAATTAATGTTGTTCTTTTTCATTGGCATAACAATATTTGCTCGATGACAATGTTCTCCTCGATAATAAATATGCATAGGGCCTTCATCTCTAAGCTTTAAATATTAAAAAAATATTTTATTTCATTATTTTTTCTATAAAAATACTTGAGAATCCAAAAATTTGCACAAAAGCATAAATTTACAAAAACGTCTTTTATTTCTTGTTTTAGTGCAAGCATAACGAATTCCATGAATTAAAGTTCTATTTCTAGCTACTCCATTAATACATCTCAAAGTTTCTAATTCTGCATTATTGTTAACTTCTTTTAAAAATATCCAATTTGAAGAGGAATAATTCCTTTCTCCAACATTTTTTGTTAAAGACAAATTACTGTTATCTTCTGTTAATCTACTAATACTTTCAGGAATATTTTGAATTGATTGTGATGTTTCTTGTGAAGGAGAACTTTAATTGAAATTAAATAAATATTTAAAAAGTATATAAAAATATTAATAAATAATATTTGAACAAATTAATTGGAAAAGAAAAATTATTTTTTAAGGAATAGTTAAGGAAAGTTGAAAGGGAATATTTTTAATTTTTTTATTATCTGTTTAATGTCTGTTTATCTATTAATAAAATTTTAAATTTTGAAATATAATGTTAATTGAGTACTTTTTTATATTAATAATTAAGTTCAAATTTTTATTAAAAATAAACTTTCTTTTAATATCTTGTGATACAAAAAATTTTTAAATTTTTAAATTTTTTAATAATTATTTTATTCAAAAATTTTTAAATTTTGATTTATTAAGAAGTTCCAAATAGATAATTTAATTATAATTATTTAAAATTCAAAATTCCAGAGATTATGAGGAATAAGTTCTGAGAGAATTTTCAAAGCAATTTTTTTTTAATTATTTTTTCCACAATTTTTTATCTAGGAACATTATACATATGTATGTATAATTTATTTTTTATTTTTTTTCTGTTTTTATTAGGTTATAAATGTATTTATGTTTAAATATATATTTATATTTAACTAATTTATTTAATTCTAAATATTTTTGTTCACTTTGTTTCTGTTAATTGCTGAATTGCATTTCCATTTAAATTTGTTTCACCTTCCATTTTTCCAATTTCAATAATTGTGCTAATTCTTTCACGGAGTATAGCTTCTTGTATCAATTTAAAATCCAAGTTTTCATTTTCTTTCATAATTTTATTATATTCAGATAATATAATAAACTGGGAAGAATTTAATTTAAACATTGTTTTAAATATTAAAACAAAAAATCTAAAATAATTATTTAACATTTAATGTTTTTAAGGCTTACTATACATACAACAAAATTAAAAATAAAAAAAATTAAAAGAAAGAGGGAAAGCTTCTCGCAAGATTAAAGAAACGGCTTTATTCTCCCCTTGACTTTAAATCAGGGCAATCATCATGCCAACTTGACAAATCTTCCTTCCCCTCTTTCCTTTCTCTCCCTCTCTATATCTCCCCTCTAAATCTAAACTACCCCCTATCAATACTTTCCCGGGATTGAATAGGGCAACCTATGTAAATATTCTAAATGTATAATCTCTATTTGCCTCAATCGTCCCCTCATCTCCACTATAATTCTCCTCTCTCTCCCCCTTTTTAATCAATCCTCTTAACTTTATCTAAATTTTTTATAAGATTTAACTTTTTAATGCAAGTTTGATTAATTTTAAAATCTAAACTAACATTACAATTTTAGAAATGTTAGTTTATACATTGATTTTAAACGACAAAAACCTTAAAAAGTCTAATTCAAAATTTATAAAAAAAAGTTTAAAATACAAATAAAGTTTTGATTAACAAACATAAAATAATTATTTTTTGATTTTTTTGTTTTTAAAATTTCTTAACGATATAGAAAATAAATTAAAAATCTTGTTTAGGAGTCATTTGAATTTATTTCTAATTATCTTTGAAAATATCTAGTATTCCTGATATAATCGGAAACAAATTTATGTAGATATTTTCAAAATTAGTTAATACGGTTATACGGAATCTGGTGCTTAGGGATACCTCCAATTTATAAGTTCTCTCATTCTTAACTACTATTTTTCTGCCAAAGAAAGGCATTTTAATAATTGAGCTCAGACTGTATATAAATCGAAACTTATTATTAGATATCTGAGAATTAGAACATCTTACTCGAGAAAGAGATAGAGAGTGGCAAAACGTTTTTATAAATAGAGAATTAAAATTTATTGTAAGGATGTTAAGATTAATATTTTATTTTAGTTTGCCAATATTGTTCGATAATGAATGTGAGTAATTAGAAACAGGGTACACCTAAACATGCGGAGCAAAACTGAACTTATTGAAACGGGATCGAATGTTCTTTTTGTTCAATACTAAATATTTTAATCAATTGTAAATATTATAAAATAGTTACATATAAATTAGAATATAAGACTTTGGTTACACTTAGTTTTTATTTAGAATAATAGTTTTTCTCAAAGTTTATATCCTTTTACAGGATACAAAAAATATTTTAAAGCCGAGAAAAAAAATGAATGAGTGGAGGGAGAGTGGAGGCAATAAATTGAGAAGGCAATGAAGGCTTAGGCAGTTGCGAGTCTGATCACCCGTGCGTGGGTTTGATCTTTAAAAAGTCGATAAATTTATTGGCTCGCATTAATGAGACATAAGGGGAGGATGGGGAGAGCTTTAATTACGGGAAGCTTTTAATGTAGAATTGAATTTGATTTTTAATTTATTCCCTCCTTACATAGAGTTTAAAGCCAATAGCCATACGCTCTATGGCGGCACAATAAGTACTTGACGCTAGCCATGCATTTCAAAAGAGGAGTGAATTGTTGAGTCAACGAGTGTTTTGAATCAGGGTGTTTTGGCTATATGTAAAGGGATTTGAGGGACTTGAATCTTATAAAATTTGAATATAGCTAGATAAATATTTTAGGTGAATTTCAGAATTTTATAAATAGAATATTTGTTACGAAGTGGAATTTTAGTACATATCACTCAACATATAAATGTTTGAATTTCTAACATTAAATTTCATTCTCCGTATCACTATAAAACTGAAAAAAAATTGAATTTAATTTTTGAAAAATTTAATTTTAAAACATTTGTGGAGATATCTGCAAACGAAATAGAAAATTCTAAATCCTTGCATAATAATCCAAAAAAAAGGCAAGATATTCAAGTAAATAGTAGACGGAGCTCGACAACAGATTCCAAGAAAATGATCAGACAAACAAAAAGGGGAGCAGGCAAAAGTACTTATAATTTTGCCGCCCTGAATTTTTCATTTTGGCCAGCTTAACATTTTAAGACAATTTTAAAAAGAGTTAAAAGTTTAAAAATCTTTTTTTAATCGAAAATATTCTTTAGAAATGCGTAATTGGAAATTTAAATAAATGTTCTATACTTTTTAAAATTTCAATTATTTTTTAATTATTCATTTTAAATTAATTAATAATAAATCAAAGAATTATAAAAAATTATATATTTATCTACTAATTTAGTTAAATTACTAAAATTAAATTTAGAATTAAAATAAATATATTTAAAAAGAATTGAAGATATTATTTTTAAAAAATGTTATTTTTATTTATTTTTTCTTTTAGCTAATTTTTTAAAATCATTTTTCCATTTCACTACAAAGTTTAGTGAATTCTTCTTTTTCTTCCTCATCCAATCCTTCATTAAATTCATTTTGATCGTTGTCATCTTTTTCTTAAAAAGTTTTTCATTAAATATAAAAGAATTTATGCGTTTAGGACATTAAAATATGTAACCGCGATTTTTTATAAAGAAAGTTTAAATATAAATTTAATTAATTATTATTCACAAACCTTCCATAAAACGTCCACATATTTCTTTTTTCTTCTCAGTTAATGTATTAGAAAGTTTTATTAAACATTCAGAATCCATATAATCACCATTTTGACTCATTTCGTCGATCCCGCTTGCAACAAGAACTTTTTCAAAGAATTGTTCAACATGCTGTTCAGCTTTAATTTGGTAATCACCTTCTTCTTCTTCTTTTTTGCATTTATTATTATCCTCTACACAGCCAATATCTTCAATTAACAAGTTAATATTCTTGACTATTTCCAAAGCATCATCCTTCTCTATATCTCTACACCACCACCACTTAATTGCACTCAAATCCAAAAACTTATAAATCTCACAGACGTTGACATTTAAACATTTTGGCTGATTATTCTGTTTTTCCTTTCCATAATTATTAATTCCAAATTGTTCAGCCCCACGCTTCACTCGATTCAGTTTCAATCCAAATCGATGCTTAGTATTTCCTGTAGCAAATGGATTAGCTCCCAAAATTTTTGTGTGAATTCGAACTGATCCATCAGGGCGGAATTCATGTTTGATACTGAAAATGGAAGGGCCAGGATGAGAAATCCCTTTAAATTGTTTTTTTGGTAGCTTTTGTCCTTGATGATTATTTGGTTGATTTTTATTTCCAGATGGTGGTTGTGGGTGTGGTGGAAGACCATTTTTTCCTTTTTGACCTAAAGGTGATGGAGAATGACGATTATTTCTATTATGTGGAGGATTTGGAGGTGTTGAAGCTGTATTTGGTGCATTTGGAATATTATGAAGCTTTGGAATATTCTTTGCTACGTGGGGAACAATTGCTTTTGATACTGACTGTTCAGCTGGCTTTGGTTGATTCTAATTATAAAAGAAATAAAGTTTAATTTTATGTTGAATAAAAGTTATCCCCTCTAAATGCTTCCTATAATTTCCTTAGGAGTAATTAATCCATCAAACAGCCAATTATCCCAACAGAAAATCTCTTTGCTTACCTCAGCTTGTTTCTTTCCAGCATTTGGATTTTCCTGCCCTTTATTTAAACCTTGAACCTTTCCGATTTCATGCAGAGTATTATTTATTTGATTTGGCTTATTCTTGTTTTTTCGCCTGTTTTTGTTTCGGCGTTTTCGTGCAGGTTTATTACCGCCTTGTTTGCCATTATTATTTTTCTTATTTTTATTTTTTTTCTTTTTATTTCTCTTTTTACCTTTTCCCTTTCGAGCATTTTTACGTTTTTGTTTTTTACTTTTAGGCTTTTTACCTAATTTATTTTGTTGATTATTTCCATTTTCTTTTGGTGGCGGTAATATTGGGGTAATCTGTTTAATCTCTTCATTATTCTCAAGTTTATTTGGAATATTTTCTTTTACTTGGAATTTTTCAGAAATTTCTTTATTTTTATGATGATTTAAAGGATTTTTTATTTCATTTTGAGCATTATTTAGGGGAGATTGAACAATTTCTTTTGGTTTTTCGGAAATTTGTTTTGTCTCAGTCTGTGGAATTTCTTTATTTTCTTTATGATTAAGAGGTGCTCCTCCATTTGTTTTTGCAGTTATTTTACGAGGTGTTTCCGATTTTTTATTTTCTAAATCTTCAGTGATTGACTCTGTTTTGTTTTGATTCTTTGGTTCTTGTTTTGGTTCTTTGTTTTGTTCTTTTTTGTTTTGATTTTCCTCCGGTTTATTTTCAATAATTGGCATTTCTTTTTCGATATTCTCATTTTTAACAGAATTTTCTTTTGATTGGACTTTTTCCTTTGATTTTATTATTTTTAGCATTTTTTCATTTAAAGGATTTGTTTGGTGCACTTCAATTTCCTCCTCTTTTGGATTTTTCGATTCTTGACTGAGTTTCTCCGGAGTTTCTTCTTCCTTTTTTAAATTCAATTCGTGAACATTAACTGTTTCTTCCCTAATATCTTCACCTTTTAAATCTTTTGGAATTATGTCTTTCTTCTCAATTTCTTCACTTTTAGTATCCATCATTGAATTATTTCCAGTTTCTTCCTTCTCATTTTCAATTTTTATTTCCTTACTTTTTGGTTCCTTTTCTTCTTCAGAAATTTCAGTTTCGAATTCATGAGAATATTTTACAGTGACCTCTCTATTTTTATTTTTGATTGTAAATCTTGTACGAGTTCTATAACGTTTAGGAATTTCATTTTCCTCTTCCTTTTCTTCATTTTCATCTTTCTCTTCTTTTTTAACTTCTTCCACTTCCTTAACTTTTTCCTCCTCTTTAATTTCTTTATTCACATCTTCATTTTCTTTTTCATCCTCCTCCTTTTTTTCCTCTTCCTCTTCAATTTTGGGTAAATTCATTGGTCCTCTATATGGAACAATAGCCCGAGAATAGTCATAAAACTCTTCTTCAATTTCATTATCATTTTTTAATTCTTCATTTGTTTTATTCTTTGATGAATTCTCATTTTCTTTGTCTTCCCCAAAGTAATCTTCTCTCTCTTCTAACTCCATTAATAAATCCTCTGGTATTTCAATATCCCATTCATCGGCCTAAATTGTTTAAAAAACTTATAGAAATGAGTTTTTGTTTAATCTGGGGAATATCCACTTTATTTTGTATTATCCCCTTTATTTAATAATTTCTTACCAATTTTTTTGCTCTTTTTCCCAAATCAATTGAATAATTCAAAATACATTGAGGTTCCATTTTTTCAAATAAATCTCTTTCAACTCCTTCCATTTCATTTCCATTAATAATTTCTTGTAATATTTCATCCCCAAAATGTTGGCAATGTATTGGTGGTTTAAATTCCATACCTATTTGATTTATTGCTCTTTCCCAAATTATTCCAGAAAATTCCAAAATTCTCATTATTGTTTCTTCTCTATCCTCAGCATTTTCTGGCATTTCAAGGTCCATTTTCTAAAGTTTAAAAAGGAATTTATTAGTTTTTGTTAAGAACAATTTGGGTTCTCGCTCTCGAGCGCTTTAGAGATAATTTATATACCCTTCTCTATTTTTAGAAATATATTCAAAATTCATAGGTATAATACTCTTGATACTAAAGTTAGTATACCTAGGGAACTCTCCTTCATCTAATAATTACCTTTTTTCCATCTTTCACTTCTTTTTCTTCAACAACTTGGCATTCTTCCAACATTTTCTCCATAATTTCTTTTCTTTTAGCAAATTGGGGCTCTTCAATGTGTTCAGAATCGAATACTTGTTTTTCAATATTTCTCAATATTTTTGCTGATTCACATATATTTTTAGCCTCATTTTTAAATTTATTTTTTATTTGCTCAAGACAAGCAGTTATTTCCTTTTTCTTTTTTATTAATAGAGGAAGTTCATCTAAAAAGTTTCGAAAATTAATACGCAAAAGAATTATTTTTATTTTTTAGTCAACAGAAAAACTTTGCCGTCCCTACAATTTCTATCAGTAAAATCTTTAATTTTCTTTTACAGAAAAACAAAATTAATTTACCATTAATTTTGTCAGTTTCTATTTTCTTTGCTTCAATCAAAATTTCATCACATTTTTGGCCATTTTTCATCTCGTTACTTACAACTGTTAACATGTTTATCTTTTTAAGTGCCTTCAATAGCCATTCTAATTGTTTATCAGCAATAGATCCATTGTCCATTTCGTAATAGTCCTTTTCTTCATTCCAATGCATATTGTGTGTATACTAATTAATTATAAAAAATATTTAGAGAATATTTTGACTACTTTAATTAATTAAAAATCAGAAAAAACCCCAAATATAAAAATCTTTTTCATTAATTAATTTTACCAATTTTAATGCAGAACATTTTCTCTCCAAATTTTCCATATATTCTTCACCCTTTTCAAATTCATTATTTTTTAACCAAATACTTGTTTGATCACAAACTTCATTTCCTTCATTTAAAAACATTTCCGTAGCTACAGAATCACACAATCCATTTTTATCAAAAGTTTTTCTCCAATTTTTTATTGGTTGTTGTATATCACTTTTCCAGTCATATTTTTCGCGGGAACGGATTGACTCGATAAATTTTTGGCATTTTTCTAAATCCTCAATTTTTTGATTTTCTTCTTTTCTATCCTCAATTTTGTTGTTATTTAAGCTTTTTTGTTGTGTAGAAAGTAGTTGATATTCACGTAAAATTATTGCATTCCATTCTAGCCATTTACCTACTTTCTTCATTCTTTTCTCCTAAAATATTTTTTTTAATTTCAAAAAAAATTTCAAAAAAAAATTAATAATTTACCACAACAATTGAACACATAAAATCCAATCTTTTTAAGTTTACTCTCTTTTTTTGAATCATTTCTCTCCTTTTTTCTTTTGTACTTTCTTCAATTCCATTACCCAAATTTTCTAATTCGTCAAGAGAAATTTCTTTCACTTCTTGACAGATTTCCCAACTTTTTTCTGCCGAAATTGGGTCGTAATTATCATTTTCTAAAAAGTCTTCAATTGCAAGTTTGGCTGGAATTGGCTTTTTCTCTTCCCCTCCTTCCACATACAAATAACATTTACATTCATGTTTTGGGTCAAAATAGAGCTTTAAACATTAAAAATTAGTTGGAAATTTTTTATAAAACTATTTTCAATCGAATAGTGCTCAGCTAGTTACTCCAAGTAAATGGTACTAGATACATGCCAACCTTTCCATTTATTAATACCACCCTTCTCAATAGCTTAATGTGCTTTATTTTAATACCCATTAAAATAATTTATAAAAATTTACTTTTGGAAGATTAACAGCAACTTCATTCTTTTGCTGTTTTTCACTATCCTTCTTTTCATTACTTTTACCAAAAGAAAATAAGCGTCCAACTTTCGATATAAATCCTTCCTTTTTAATTTCTTCTTCCTTTTTTGGTACTTCTTTTTCAATTACTTTTTCTTCTTTTATTTCTTCCTTCTTTTCCTCTACTTTATCTAAAAATTATAAAAATAATTTGTTAATAAATTTAAAAACCTTTCCCATTTTCATCTAATTTCCAGGTAACCTAAAAAAATAAATTTTATTTATTTATTTAAACAAAACTTACCGAACGCTTCCTCGTCTCTGATCTGTTCAAATCTTCTTCAGCAGTTTTCATTAAATCTTCCTAAAATTTTACAAAATTTATTTTATTTGTTATTATTAAAGAACCTCTTTAGTCTTATTCTCGAAAGTGTCAGTTTTTTCTTCTTCTGGTGATTCTTCTGAATCTTCTTGTATCTAAATATTTCGATAATTAAAAGGAAACTTTTCTTTTTATTAAATAACTAAAAACCCCTTTCTCGAATTTTTGATTTTAAATTGTTTTTTGCTTACTAGCTAAACTTTACTAGCTAAACCTAACAATTTAGTATCTCCTTATAATTTAAGTTTTTCTTTTAAAATTTATTTTTACTTAACTTTTCCTTTAATAATAATTTATTAAACAATTAATTAACCTCTTTTCCGTTTTGCAAACTTATATTTTCCTCATTTTCATCATCATCTTCATCATTACTTTCATTTAATTTCTCCAAATTCCCATTTTCTTTTGATTTCATATTATCAGTTTTCTAAATAAAAATAATTATTTATTTAATTATTTTAATTATCTAATTAATTACCGTATTTTCTCTAGTAATCCCCCAGGGGGATTATTGTTTCAACCCATTTCTAGAGTGGGGAATTAATAGAGACTGGGGAATTAATAGAGTGGGGTAGAAAGAAGGGGGATTATTTTTCAACCCATCTCTAGAGTGGGGAATTAATAGAGACTGGGGAATTAATAGAGTGGGGTAGAAAGAAGGGGGATTATTTTTCAACCCATCTCTAGAGTGGGGAATTAATAGAGACTGGGGAATTAATAAAGGACTGGGGGATTATTAGAGTAAATACGGTAATCTCTCATTCAAACACCACGATCCTTTTGGAGAATTCCCAAAAATTATGTTAAATAAAAATAAAAAAATGTTTATATTTTCTTTAATCTTTTTCCTCACTCTTAATTAATTATTTAATTTATTTACTTCTAATTTCTCAATTTTCTCACAAATTTTTTCAAACTTATTTATTCTTTCCTCAACCCTTCCAACCCATTTTTCAACTAAATCTTTATCTTTTCTTTCACTATAATTTTTATATTCCTTCAAAAATTTCTTTTTATATTCTCTACTTTCTTTACAATATTTTTCTGTTTCATTCCCAATTATTATCATTAAACAAATTAAATCTTCTGTTAATTCTGAGGGCTTTGTTGTGTCATTATTTTCTTTTATATATTCAGAAATCTTTTCTGAATAATAATTTTTGGAATTTAAAGGGTTCCCATAAAAATTTTCTTGAATATATTCTATCCAATATGTTTTGCTATCATCACATGAATTTGGGGTTTTTTCTAGTGATTTTCTGCCAAACTTTAAATATTTGACTATATCTTCCAATACATGAGTTAATTTTTGGATTTTTTCTAAAAATTATTTTTTAATTAAGTTATAGTTTTGAAAAATTCTTTTTAAATTACAAATCACTTATTTCTTAAAAACCAAAAAATTATTTTCTTACGTTCATTTCCTTCAATTTTAATTAATTCAAAATCCCATTTATTCTCCTTTTCAGTATTTAAATAACACATTCCGTTTAATTCTTTATTTTCTCCTTCATTTTCGAAAATTTGTGAAAGGATGGAGGTATAGGCAAAATTAAAAAGTTTAATCTCTGAACTCAATCCTCCCAACATTTTCATTCCAAACCCAATATTTAAATCATTATTTATTTTTTCAAAAGGTGTTTCCTTCTTTTTCTTTTGATTTTCTTTACCATATTCAGACAGGATTTCATTGCAATCGCGATCAAGATGGATAGCCATGAAATTTATTATACCTTAATAAATAAATATATTTGAAGTAAATATATTTTTGCTGTGAAAATGATAATATATTTTTATTCCTAGAAGCTAAGATTTAAAACCGTCTTCAAAATTCTTAGATTTAGGACTGGTTTAATTAAGACAAGACCGACAATATGGGTAAGGATTTAAAATAGGCAAGACTTTGTCATTCATCCCTACTCGGAACGGATGAAACTGCGACCATTTTAGGATCCAAATTAATTAAAATAATTCTTAAAATAAGAAGAAATTATATTTTAACTAATTTTAAATTTCTTAATTATTAGACTTTTTATGTTTACTCATATTTTTACCGTCATAATTTCGATTGTCATGATTTTTCTTTAAAGATTGACGCATCTCTCTATTGTAATGTATTTTTCCGGCCAATCCAGAAACTTTCAACATTTTTGCCAATTCTCCCAAATACGATTGTCTAAAAATTTTTAAAAATTAATTTCGCTAAAATATATTGAATTTTCTTACTTTTCAATTAATTTTTTAGTTAATTTATTTTTTTCTTGAAAAATCTCTTCTTGTGTCTTTGGTTTTCCATCTTCACTATTTTTAAATTTGGCAAGTCTAGTTTCAAGCAAATTCTTTTGTGGAACCGTGTAATTTAAAAACACTGGACAATATTTATTTATTTCTTCTGAAAATCTTTTTGCAAGGTCCGAATCAACTTCGAAGCTAATTAATAATTTATTTAAAACTCTTTTTGCAAAATTCTCAAATTGAAGGAGAATTCTTTCATTTACATTTAGCTGAGTTCCAATTTCGTCGTCACTTTGTTGTGTTGGACACATATCAACTACTCGATCAATCATCTTTAAAAATATATATTTTAAGATTGATAGAGAAAAGATAGGATTAACTCCTGTCTTCTATCAAAACTCCTTTATAATTTAAAAGTTAAAATAATTTCTTATATACCTTTTCAAGATCAAAGTCGTTAAAGTCTACTTCATTGTCAATTACATAAACTCTTTTCGCAAGAATTTCGTAGATTTTTTTGATACCTAAATCTTTCTCTTTCTTTCCTTTCAATAATATATGTAAAATAAGCGTTGAATATGATTTTGGATTAATTTTATAATCATCACTCATTTTAGATATATCTGATTTATTTTCAGAAGCAGCAGAAGCTGAATTTTCTATTTTGCTCGATTTTGTTTCAAGTATCTCTTCCACTTCCTTTTTCCCATAATTCTTTTGAAGATTTTCATTAAATTTTTCGTAGTATTCGATTATTTTTCGAATAACAATTTTCGGTTGAGACAAGAGAATTTCATAGACGGTTCCGAATTCAGGTTGAGGATCTGAGAAAATTTTCTTTTAAAAAAGCGAGGGTTATATTAATCCTGAGAGGTAAAGATCACCTTCCCTTTATACAAATTTTCCGGGCCTCCCCATCATTTTATATGTAGGTCTACTGGCAGATAAGGTCTTTTAATTACCAAATAATTTACTTTCCAAAATTCCAAAAAGCCTTTCCCCCAAAGCCTGTTCTCTTGGGACAATCATCATTTCAAACATTTTCGCAATATTGTCATATGATTTGTGCACAAGTCCAGATAATAAGCCTGTGTTTCGTAGTGATTTGACAGAAGCATTTTCATGCCAAAATATTTTGTGGATGCATTCCTAATAAAATAGTATAAGGATGTATCCCTACTGTTATCTTATTAGGAAGTGTAACTTAAATTGTGAGCAGCTTTTATCACGTTGTGGCCAACCAAAAGTGTTTACAAAGGAAATCCAATTGTTTTTATTTTTAATACATATACATGAGACCATAACGATTTAGAATAATATTTTTAAGTAAATTCCCTGTTTCTCAAAAATCCTTTACAAAAAGTTAATTTATTTTACTTCCTCTGAATAGCCAACACGTTTGCAATAATCCTTTGTGATTTCTTCACGGCGCCATTGAGGCATTGGCACGTAAAATGCTGCCAATTGCTTCCAAGCCATTTGACGACTATCCAATTGATCCGTTTTTAGCAGATCGGAATTTAGATGATTGACGATATGATTGAGCTTTTCCCAGGCATTTGAACCAACGTAGTTTCGCGAACATTTATCGACAATTTCTTTCGATAGTCCGTTTACTGTTTAAAAAATATTTGAAATTAAATAAAAGATTTTTAAGATTACCCCCAAAATTGCAGAAAATCAAAAGGACCACGACTAATAAAAGTCGTTGAATTATCATTATTTAATTTATTTATTAATAATTTTATTCATTAAATTTCAACTAATTGATTCTTAAATTAATTTTTATAAAATTTAATAATTATTTAAAAATTATTTGAAATTAAATGGAACAATTATGTATCCGAAAATTTTGCTATTATTCTATGAGAGGAGAGAAAGGGCAGTCTTCGATATTTTTTTTTTAATCTGGGACAATTCAATCAAAAACTGAATAAATTTATAAGTGTACATACATATCCCTTTGATAATTTGTAATATATAAATAAATAAAAGTTAAAATATAATTTAAAAATATTTAATAATGAATAGCTACTGTTTAATTCCTAAGGGATTTTATAATAAGAGAAATGTTTAAAAAATGACAACATTAATTCGTAAACAATTTTTTATAAATATATTAAAAAATATACATAATATGATGTAATTTAAATTTTAGAGGCAAAATTTCAAAATATAAATTTCTCAAATTTCCTTTATTTTCTCCATTTCCTCCTGTATAGTGCAACTAAATAAAAAATATAGTTTATAATTTATGTATAATTCACTATAAAGAATATAATTTGAAAAAAATCAAAGCAAAAAATCATTTCCATGTGTTGCCCTTTTACATATGTGAAAGACTAGAATCATCGGATGATATCACCTTATTTGTTAGTGATGAAAACACATTTAGTCGGATGATGTCATACATATGAGCTTTTCCCTAACTTCAAAGGAAATTTATTAAGAAATATTAAATTAAAAAATTTTTTTATAAGTCTAAATGCACTTTTAATTTATTAATTTCTTCTTAAATATTATTTTTTTAATTTTAATTTAATTTGAAAATCGTTTTAATTTAATTCTAGAATGTCTTGTTCATTATGGGACTATATCTTTACTTTATGTAAGTATTCAAAGTTAAAAATTTTAATAATATTGTTTAGTGAATATTCATTTTCTATTTCTTATCTTTCTCTCATATAAAATTCAATTCAAACTTTAATTTTTTTCAATATCAGAACCAAAAAAACAAAAATTGACTATAAGAATCGACGCTGCCCTACATAAGTGTATAAAATTTAAAATTTGAATACTTACAGAAAACGTGTTTTTAATTGTAAAGCATATAGTCATCTCCAAAGGCTATGCGAGGGCAAACTGGAATAATGTAAATATAACACATCTTCAGATGCTGGTTCGTTCCCAGCCTTTTGCATTAGCTGAAGAAGGAATATCTATAGCCCAGCTCAGTTAATCTTTTTTGAATTTTATTAAAAAATATTTTTATCTTGGCCAGAGAGTAGTCTGAATTGTGTTTGGAAAGGATCATCGCACTTAACAAAAGCTAGCACCAACACTGTTTCCCAATGTTAACTAAATGCGGGATCAATTCTTTAAAAGAACTTCTTTTCCCTTTGCACAAAATTAACAGCAGCTGACCGATAGCCTTTCCAGTACAGCGCCAGCCTCAACTCGAGACTACCCCTTCTCGGAGATAACACCCGAAAGTGTGGGCCATTTCTCAGACCTTCCCAGGAACATTTAAAAGCAATCATCTGCTTTAATGTGGCTCCTATGATCCTCATCCAGCCAAGAACTTGTCTTCAATTTTAAATTTCTCCTTTATATTTCTACCACACGTTTTTCTCTTTTATATTTGATGGGGTGTAAACAACAAAAAGAGAAAAAAGACAAAAGGGAACTTCAACAAAGTAAAAATCCGTATAATTATTTGAATACCCCAAAATTTTTGTAAATTTTAAAAAATTTGAAAAGGAAGATTGTTTTGTAAATCTCTTATTTTTCAATTTTACAAAAATATTTAATATATAAATTTTTATTAAAATTCAAAAATATTTAAAATATAATAACAAAATAATTTTTAAATAAATAATTTTAATTTATTCGTTTGTAACATTTTCTCATTTGTAGCAGATATGTTTAGTATATAAATTAATTATTAAATGTTGTATTGTGAATCAAAACTAAAAGATTTTCCATACTTTCATCCTTCTCTAGCATCTTTAAAAATAAAATTAAAAAAAATTTTTAAGGTTTGATTGGTCATTCTTCTCAAATAATTGTTTGTTGCGAAAGACAAAAATTGGGAAATTTTGGAGAGAAAGAACAACAACATTTTTAAATTATTATTTACCTTATTTAAATTAAAAGTATTTTGTGGAGAATTAGGAGAATCTGTTGATTCAAATGGATTTCTGAAAAAAAAAGAAAAAATAAATATTTTAAATTAAAAATAAAACAATTTAGTATCAACAGGAAATGTTGTTGCCGCATTTTTTCTTTGAAGAGAAAATTGTTTTACAAAACTTTCATTTAAATGGCAACCATAAAATGGAGGGGGTTTTTGTTGTAAACGTAATTGTGGTGATTGTTTATTTTCTGTTTGACTATTTTTAAATTTTTAAAATTAATAATTTCTTTTTTAAATAAAAATTACTTTTTCTTTAATTTTAATGCTCTTCTGTCTAAACTTGAGGATGAATAATATGAAGGTATTAAAAGTGATTGTTGTGGACTTATTTTGTTGAATCTGGGTAATGATGAAGAGGAAATACTAGATGAATTAATTAAAGTATTTAAATGTTGTTTTGATGATGGAAATTCTTTCTGAAAAAAATTTGAAGAAAAAATTTTGCCAAAAAACATTAATTGTTTTGAAGAACAACCCGAAGCCGCCCCTTTTTTGTACAGGTATAAATATAATTATTTTTAGGGGTGGGCATACTTTAGGAGTATATAGTAATAATAAATTGATAATACATTCCCTAAAAT